GTGGCATGGAAAGTTAGTCAGTAAAGCCATGGAAAGTAGTCTGTGTGGCAACAAGGTGACTTCCTGGTGAGGCTGGGTAAATACTTTAGTGGGCATGATGATTTCAATGCTGGGTGAATTTCTTAAATTAATCTGAAATGCTTTTTGTCTTTCTATTACACACTTACCAAATTTCATATAGACTAGTTGTAATTAGAAAGCAGGCTGCTGTTTTTTGTTCTAGAAACAACCTGAACTAAAGTATGATGATTAAAAAAAAACTCATGTAATCTTTATGTACTTCCTGGTATACTGAAATTAAGATATCCTCCTTTGCCTGCCCTCCTCCTTCCAAAACTGTAGAGGCATATCAAAAACACAGAAGGTTGCCATAAAATCCCAGTCAAACCAAAGCAACCAAGATGAAAGCACATTTAAGAGCGCCAAGGTTCTGCAAGCTTTCAAAATCAGGACATAACTACCAGGACAACCAATGAAAAGTTCTTTCAAGTAAGCGAACCTTTGGGGACACTGTGTAACATCCATTACTCTCTGGGCTCTTTGGAAATCAACTTTTACTTTATTATGCCTGCCACTGAAGCTTGTAAATTATGGTACTCCCCTCAGTCACTCTCCCATTATATACCCTGTCCCCTCACTCATCTAATGCAACCCATCCTTGAACTTCAGGCTATCTATAAATGAAACCTCAGGGCAATGAGCTACTTCATAGCCATCCACTATATTTGGTCAGATTTGCCTCACCAACAGTGTGTCTCAGAGTTTGTATTTGCACTTGAGTATTTACATAATGAAAATTGTCATACTGCTTGTGATAATCTCTCTGTGTGTGTGTATATATATGTGTGTATGCGGATACATCATGTAATATATATGATAGATATAATGTGATATGAATATATCATACATTGTCATAAAATATATATGACAGCATTCACTTCCCCTAAAGAATTTTCAAATGTTAATGCAACTACTGAGTTTCATTATTTTTTAATCTGTTAAAAATGACTCCATACATTCAATAAATGGGTCCATAATTTTTCAAAGTTTTCAGTGTCCTTATGATGGAGTGATGTAAGTTATTGAAATAAAATTATTTAGGATTAAAAAATCTGAAGCACTACGTGGAAATTGGAGGAACTTTAAGAATGCACATCACATTTCATAACTTTTAAAGTACTAAAGCCTTACTAATGTTTCCAAGGCTTAACTCCCTCATGATAGTGACAGAAGGATTTCATTTGCCAACATCATTTATTGCTTAGCATTACTCCATACTAGACAGAATAAATGGAGGTACAGTGTAACCGGTATGTCTGCTCATTCACTTCTGATGCCCATCTGTGTACGTTATCTATCCTAATAAAGAAAATGTATTATATTGCAACTTAATGTGGTTATCCTTCAAATGGCTTCTGCCTCCATTGAACAACAGCCAGCATTTTCAACTTGGAATTCTGCAAAAACTCTCTTCTGATTCCTCTTTAAAATGCAATTCACAGCTTGAGATCACAGAGCCTGCCAGTGGCTGAATGGCTGCACTAGGCGACTGAGAGTCCTTCAATTAAGCAGCAATTTTGCAATTAGTGGAAACGGAGTACTCCATAACAATTGTTTGAAAACAAGTTGAGACAAGTGAGCAATTACCCTATTAAAGAGATATATTCACTTTCATGGTACTAAAAGAGCCCCCTCATACAAACCGAAACCTTCCCCACAAGGAGACACAGGCTGAAAATTATGTTTTAATCACTAGAATGAAATCAGTCCAGTATAACTGTTGCAGCCAGAGTGCTTTTCATGAAAGACAGTCAGAGGCTTAGCTGTTGTCCCCTCTCTATGTTCCGTTTTCATTCAGGAGATCCACAACTGCTCTTTACTCTAGGACTACATTCCTACATCTTAAATTCTTAATGAACTACTTGTGTGTGACCTTTCCTTCCAAGGTGTACATCTTAGATTCTCTTGATGCTTAGAAGATAATGTTTATGGAATGCAAACCTGTTGGCTGTGCTACAATTTACAGCATATAGGGATATTGAGTTGTGTGGGGGAGATCTGGGGAGGGATTTTACTGAAGGCTTTAAAGATGAGTGTAAAAAAGAATGAAAACAAGCTGGTTGCTATACTATCAGGTGGGCGTGCTCAGCCTGTTCTGTGTGCCAAGTTACAACCCAGAGCTTTTATATTTGGAAGAAATGAGATTATCAATCATTTACATTTTGACTATTAAAAAGTTGGGACTCTTAAAACATTTCGGAAGCAGGGAACAGCTTACATTTTAATGTTGTCCCCTTTAAACATAACATCCAAGACTTTGAGCTAAGATTTTAGAAATTTACATTTACATTTACTATGATTTCTTCCTCCCAGCAAATCAAAATGAACTAGAAATAACCCAGCTACTTCTGTCTCTTGGGACCTTTAGGAGATTTAAGCAACCTATGTACATAGTATAAACGTGTTCAGAGGTGAGGATCGAAACATTCTAGGCAAATGATTACTCTCTAGGCTCCTCTGGTTTGCGATTAACAGTTACATACTTCCAGGGCATCCTAAAACAGATTTCTTAAATGCCTTAGTTTCTAGATACATAAAGGTGACAATCCCTTTGGATGACCTTAAGTAGCACTTTAAAATAAACATGATTTCTAATTACCAACTTAGCTGTGAATAGGCTGTGAGAGATTCTAGAAATATGTGAAAAATTACTGTTACTCTGTCTTTAAAAAATTGTTATGTCTAAGTGTGTCTGTAATGGTCTAAAGCTTCAAGATGTGTGCGCCATGTACACTGGTCTTGTTTATCTGCAAATTATTTCTTTCATCCTAAATCATTTATAAACAGGAACATTTTAATTACTTAAAAATTCTCTATATAACATGTGTTGTGTGTCATAGTATTTACTATTAATATTTACCAATATGTGTCCCATTTGACAAAATAACATAGACGAAAACCAGAAAACAACTTTATGGTTCTGGAATTCCAATAATGGTAACTACCATATTTCAAATTCCAGTAAAGATTACATTTCAACAAGTGTCTGTTTCCTTTCTCTTACCTTCAGAGGTAAACTTGAAAAATACAAAACAAAACAAAGACTCGAAACCTTTTGCAAAACCAGGGAACTGCCGTAATTATTTCAAAACCCCCCTAGTGTTATTTCAGGTCCCAGTGCAACGGATTAAGTCTATTATGTGTAACAGCTTGAAGCTGTTCCTGTTCTAACCTCAGATCCCTCCGACCTGAAAACAGTGTCGCCTGTGGCAAGCTTAGAGGGACCCGGATGCTTAGCGGACTCAAACCCGTAAATAAATAAATAAATAATGCGGAAAAAACAAAAATCAATCGTAAGATCAAAATGGTTTTTGACCTTATAACTAATGTATTAAAAATCGATTTTGGAGAATTAAAAGGATATATTTTCAGTAAGTTGATCCAATTGTTGGGAAGGGGGACTCATTTAACCTTTTATACACAGATAACAATGATCCTGCCTAATTACACACCGCTTTCTTTTGAAACGTAACGTATAGGAGACTTAATAAACAGGAAGAAATATGCTTCTAGCCAAGAACAATCTGAATTCTTGAGAGGAAAAAAGTAGTTCACTGGTTGTGGTTGACACTGAGAAGTATGTTGCAGGATACCGAGGAGACCCTGAAGTAAGATCCAGTAAGTCCCAGGTCATGGTCAAGAGTGGATCATCAAAGCACCCACCCCAGCGATATAAGGAAAGAAGCGCATCGAGTTATAACTCCCAACCTGTGCCGCACATCTCAGGAAACTGGTCCGAAACACCGTTCAACAAGTTTTTCCTCACACCCCACTAAAGATCCTCAAAACTACCCCCAAGATCTTCCCCACCCCCATCCGACCGCCCCAGTAGCTGCTCTTGGCAATGTGGCCGGCAGAGGGCACCCTCTACCTTCCTAGAGCAGCTCTTCTGGCCCTCCTCTTCCCTCCTCTTCTGGATCCTCCCTCTCTACCTCTTGCTCTCCCCCGCCCCCCACGCCTGTCCCCATACCCAGTTCCCTAGTCCAGGCTCCACCCCCAACTCACGAATTGTTTTCGCTAAAACACCATTTCACCCCCGTAGCCTATAGCTCACCCACCCCAAGCCGCCCCGGAAGAGCCCCCCCGGGCTGCAATTTCCCCCTTTTCCGTCATCATCAAGCACAAAGTCCCAAGCCCCATCCTCAGCTATTTCTTTCCAGCCTTCACTCACTCATCTATTCCTCTTCCTGTTTCAGCATCCCCAGAAACCAAAAGCTGTCGTTTCATCCTCCATAGACACCCAATCTACTCCCCGACCAAAGTCAAAACTTTCACTTCCGCGGGAGGATGCCCTAAAAGAGGCACGCAGAATGGGCAGAGGGTCGCATGCAGGCTGTCCGGGAGTTTTGCAGATCCTTTCAAGCCCTAGCTGCAAGACTGGTCCCAAGTTTTTCCTTGGACCTGTAAGCAAGCTTTGGTATTACGCGGTGGAGAGCAGGTGACAGTGTACAGCCTTGTGATACCCAGGAAAGGAGACGAGGACAGGGGGCGCAAACATCCACTCCCGGATCCCAAACCACTGAGGTCCGAATCCTCTTGGAGAGTGCCTAGCGGGTGGTCAGGGATCCCATCCCAGCCCTAACCCGGTACCCTCCGTCTGAGCCCCCGACAGCTGGCGCCCAGCATCTCTCACCACCCTTCCTCGTCTGCGGGAGGACTTCGAGGATCCCCTGAACGCCGGCTTAGCTCCCATGGCGCAAGTCGTCCTATCCCCTTGGCCTTTTCTCTCGCACTGCAGGGAATCCCGGGGTCCCGCTGTTCCTTCGGGTCCTGGGCTCCAGGGAGAAGGTTCCTCAAGAGCAACCCCGCCCCTCCGCTGTCACAGGACGAAGGTGAAGCCGGAGTTCTGCGGTCCCACAACTTCTCATTCCCCCAGCCAACTTTCCCGGGCGCACGCGCCGCCGGCTCCCGCGCTTAGCCCTACGCCCGCAGTCGCCTACCTCGGGGTCCACACAAAGCTCTCGGATCCCCGGCAGCGGAGTCACATCGTTGTCACACTCTTGGCCCCTACGCCCTGCCCCGGGCCCCGTGCTCTTTGCCGTCCGCCCCACAGCAGCCGTGGCAGAGGGAGGAAACCGGTCTCATCAAAGCTTCCCCAAGCGGAGGTGGCGCGTCGCCCTAGGCGGCCTTTTTCTCCAGGCCCGGGAGTCCCCGGGGCTGCGGGGACCGTGCCACAGCCAGCCAGCGGGTGCGCCCTGGCGCGGCGGCAGCGGCGGGCACCCAGAGCTCAGCCAGCGCCAGGCGCTGGGGTCAGACATTATTTAGCTCTTCGGTTGAGCTTCGATTGGTCAGACAGCGCCGCCCCTATCCCCTCCCTGCTCCGCCGCGCCACTGATACCCATTCGGGGCGGCCGCTTAAAGGGGACGCCGCGTCTTTTCCTCACGGGGTCTTAGCCCTCGGGGACCTTCGGGGAACCCCTGACCGCCCTGCACGGGCTTCTCGCTATTCTCTGGGAGTTCGCCACTTAATCCCCAAAGCCCTGCGCCTGCCCTCCACAGGGTGCCCTGGGCTAGGAGGGGTGGTCGAATCCCAGTTTCCAGGAACCCAGCTCCTGGCAATGTGCCCCGGAGCAGGAGAAAGCGCGTGCGAATCCCATGCGCCCAAATCTTTCTTCCCTGGTTTGCAACTCTCCGCATCTTTCCCATCCTAGCACCCAAGTTCTGTGGGAGAGGGCGTGCATATCCCCCGCCCAGACACACCTTCCCGCACCTTTCCTCACCACAGAGCTAGGGGAAAAAACCAGCACACAATGAAACTGCACTGAGTGTGCGGGGTTACGGTTTACTCCTCTACTTTAAACACACCAGCTTAACCAGAGTTCGTGCCCTGACCTCTCCGGGAGTTTGCCTAATAGAATTCAATCAAGATAATAACAGTATTTTTTATTAATGAATAACCCCGGATAACATTACACCAAGTTACTGCTTCTAGCCGGGAAGCCTAGGCAATAACAGACCTCACTAAAGCCATATGCTTCCCAGCAGACCAAACGGGGGAGGCGGGGGGGGGGGAGAGAAAGAAACAGAAAGGAAAAGAGAAAGAAAAGAAACCCACCTTTTTCAGTCACTACTTGTCAAAGTAAACATCAAGGCAGCTGCTCTGGGGAAGACCAGCCCCCAAGGTCCTAGACTCTTACTATATTTTTCCCCTTCCCTTCGGTTAATAGGGAGAGGGGGGGACCAGTCTTTGGTGGCCGGTACTCCTGTTCTGCAGCAAAGAAGTTAAATTATTGATAGTGGAAATTGCATGGCGGAGGTAATACTCGCACGCCTTCAGCGAGAAGCTCCATTTGATCTAGGCAGAGGCTGGGAGATTTCATGCTAGCTCCGGGGGTGGGTGGGGGAGCGGCAGCGAGAGCAGTCCTCTCCTCGGTGAATGGGAAAGTGGGTGGGAGTCCACGAGAGGGCTCCACGCTGCCTTGACGTGAGCTGTCATATGATATCTCCTCTGCCTCGAAATAGACACTCTAGTGCACGAATTACCAGAATCAGAATTCCGCGCATTTAAAATGATACATCTTTTATTAGAAGAATTCCGTTCCAGGGCATTGCATGCTTTGTAGATGTTTTCACTTCCAGTCCTAGCGAATTAACACACACACACACACACACACACACACACACACACACACACACACACACACCCCAAGCCTTCATTACCCAGGCAACAACACATTAAAAAAAATCTTTAGAGTTCAGGGTGAGGGGTGGGTGAGGTGGGGTGAGTAAGTCGCCCACTAAGACCACTTCCTCCCAAATAGTGGTCTTTGGGCTTCTCTTTTGCTTGTAGTAGAGAGAACAATTCAGTGGCTAGGGCCTGGACGAAGACTTTCATTTAGATGTTTGATGAACTCTCCCAAGCATCTACCTGAAACCCTGCTTTGTTAAACTTTCCTCCCTTAACCCAGCCAATTAGTAAACGCTAGGGCAGACCTTCATTTTTAGGAGGCAGGAAGAAGAGAAGAGGGCAATACTGAGCTTGGAGTCCCATCTCTTGTTAACATAATCACTCGAATGCATTAAAAGGGAGAGGTTCCTTCTTCTGAGGTTGGCCTTTAGTATGGCTAAGTCAGGGTCCAGGGATTTGCATTTTAATAAGCAATTCCTTTACAGACAATCTCAAGTCATACCACGGAAGACTCATGTGTGACTCATAGAGGAGGCACAAATGACTATCAGAAACTCTTGCACCCCAACTCCTGTGGGCCCTTGTGTGTGAATGTGCATTTTTGTTGAATCTTAATGACTTAATCATTGCTAAAGCATTGCTCTATGAATATCTTTAAATGCTTGAACATTAAATTTGCCAGAGGAAAAGAGGTATGAACAGTTCCCTTTCCCAGATGTCTCATGACTATCAAGAATGAGCTGTTGAACGGAATATAAGATATTATTGTGTACTGAGATTCATTTACCCAAGGGCTGATAGTTAATAAAGTGAACTAACTAACATTTGCTATTTGAGAACTTCCAAAAACTGCTGACAGACACCGTTTCTGTTTTATAAGCAAAGAACCAGCGATTTAATACCATATGTTAGTTTAGCCAAGTGCATAGTAATTTACTCAAGTGCACATATTAGAGACACACCTTAAAGGCCTCCAGAACTCCAGCTAGAAATGCCCCACTTCTACTCTCTGTCCTTCAGTAAAGGGAAGTCATCAGAATTCAAGGTCCTTTCCAGTCCCGTTGGAAACTGTTGGTCTGAATAGCTAAGTTATTCAAATATATGCACATTCTGAGAGTGTCACTCACAGTTAGCTTTGCACCTCTGTCAATTTCATTGAGCACATGATCAATATGAAGGATCCTACAGCACAGATGGTGGAGTTTATTGTGAAATAGCTAATGTATATGAAATGTGCAGGAGAAATAGAGAGCAATAGAGAACAGGAATCTGGGCTTGGGCCACCTCCAAGACCCTCTGTATTTCCCTAGGGTATAGGCTGAATGTAACCATGATCCCTTCGATTGTTATAATTTAAGTGGCCATACTGCAATCTTTAAAACTACCTGTATATCTTTCAAAAGGACTAAAGTAGTCTTACCCCCAATTTTAAAAGGAAAATAACTTTAAATCAGTTTCAAACTTTCCAAACCTTACATTTATCAGGAATGAGTTCTGACCCCGGATTTTGATTTCTTTCTTTTCTCAAAAGTACCTTGCAAGAAAATGCCCCTGATAGCATCGTCATTGCTGCTCAGGTAGATGTTACATACAATCTTCCTTCTGTGGAACTCACATTTCCCTGTTAGCACTTCTGCTGAAGGAACCAGGCTCTCATTCTGAGACTCTAATTGCATGGCTGATGTTGTTATGCCCACTCTCCCTTAACTTTATAGAAATAAATGTTTGTGTCTTCTCTTTCCAGTGGGTGGTGCATTTTTACTGAGAAAAAGACATACCAGTCAGAAAGGAAGGAGTGTTTTGAACAGAAGACCAAGTGCCAATTCATATAAGCCTGATAAAGTAGACTTCTGCCCACTTTTGAGTATTTTCAAATTTCCTGATTTGTGATTATGGCAATACTGAATAGTAAAAGACCACACTTAAGACATTTATCTACTTGCCATAAGAAGCTCCTTTATACTTAATAACAACAAAACCAAGATGGATCAAGTGTCAGCAGTTTGTAGTAAGTTATGAATTCTTAAAAATCTTTATTTTGGTAAAATATTCCACTAGTTTTGGGGGCTTAGATAAAACTTTGTACAGAAAGTGTCTTCCTTATTTTTGGCAGGTCTCAATATTCAGCTCAGCTGGCTTTGGAGTTGGACCCTTGAGTGCCCTCTTCTATGGGTGTACGCTAAAGCACTAACATCACTTTCATAGTATGCTCAAAGGCACTGTTTAATAAAACTAAGCATGTATTTTTATTTTTCTTAAAGATTGGCTTGTGACATAAAAGATTGTTATTGGGAGCAAAAGTTCTTTCTAAGTTTTTGATGCCAACATTTTCTCTACTATTAAAAGGTAGAAAAAACTATGAATAAAAGAAATTCAATTGCTTTGGGGCTTAAAAGTTAATTTTGAGTGAGTCTAAGTCTTAATTCCTTTGGTTTATTGCTTAATACTGCCCTAGCTAGAAGTTTCAAGAGGACAGAAGTGAGACATAAATGTGACTTCCCATCTATTCTTGTCAGGAAATAAAACTAATCCTCATTACCCAAGTGGGAACAGAGGCAGCAGGATCAGATTTGATACTGACATATTTTTCTATTAATAATTTTAATTGGCTGAGGTCAATTCTGCTATCTCCATAAGCATTTTATGTTTAATTGTGTTTATTGAAGTTTCTCAGTTACTCCCATCTTCACTCTTCTTTGAAAAACAATGTCTAGTATCAAATGAATTGACCCCAAATACAGCTGAAAATTAGAGAAAGTAATTAATACAGGAAAAATAATAAGTAAGCAGAAAAAATTTCCCTGATGAGTAGAGTGACAAAGATGTTTTCAAATCCATGCTTCATGATTTCCAACGTCTAGTTGGACCTTGAACTTGTCATTCACAGTCTTTGAAATCATTAAATAAGGCTGTTCAGAGAAAAACACTTTAAAGGAAAAGATAGTTTCCTTATTCACTAGGTAGTACTTCTCTATAACAGTCTTATAAAGCATAAAAGTAACTCTACATCATACTTAGATGTGGCCAAATTGGCCAACACCTGTTACAGGAATTATGTGTCCTGGTAGTCCTGGTATTGATAGGTAAAAACAAGGGAATGGAGCAGAAAAGATTACAAAGGCCTAAGTATTGAGTGTTGAAAAGGAGGGTGAGAAAAAGGAAGTCCCATCTGGAAACACTTGTCTAATTTAAGAAAAACATCGTAAAATCATTATAAAATTGCTGAGGCTAACCCCCTAAACATCCAAGAATTGTCTATTTGTAAACCCTCCTCTAAGTTAACAGATCTTTCCTGAGAATAAGGAAAGATTAAGAATGAAGAGACATCGATTTACTCATTATAATATGGTTATGAACATAGTCACAAGGTTATGGAACAGTTGATTTGGGAAATAAGAGCTGGCATTACTAACCAGTGTGTATGCTGGTTGTCCTGGGAATACAGCCATGGAAAGTATGAACAAACTTAAATTACTGGGTTTCAGGGCAATGCATCAGATATGCAGAGTAGGTCACCTTATTTTTGAGATACAACTATTTTTTTAATGTTTGGGTAAGGGATATTTCTTCAGTTAAAGCTCACATTTTTTCATGGACAAAAAAGAAAGAAAAGTCTGAAAATGAAATAATCATGGTGGGGTTTTA